GACGGGCGGGGCAGGCAGCCGGACGGGCGGGCGGCGGGGGCCGGGCTCCGGGATCCGCTACGCCGCTCGCGGTTCCCCCACAAACTCCCCGAGAGCGGAGCCTCCGCCGCCCTCCTTCCTGCTTCCTCGTCCCCAGCCAATCAGCGGAGCGCCCCTCGTCCAGCTCCGCCAATCAGCCGCCCCGCCCTGCGCTGGCCCCGCCAGCCAATCCGGTTCGCGGCTCCCCCTCCCAGTCTCTGACCAATCAGAACCGTGGGTCGGTCGTCCCAACGCAGGGGGCAGCACGAGGCGGCTGGGGGAGGCGGTGCGGGGAGTGGTGGGGCTTGGGGGGAGGGGTATGGTGCCAAGGGTGGTGGCGGGGGGTGGTTTTCTTTGCCGGCTTCTTGGGTTTTCTCTCCGTCTGCAGAGCCTGAGCCCGTATCCCATGGTGACCCGACCCTGGAGCCCCAATTCCCCAGCTGCTCTACCCCCCCCCTCGAGAAATCTTATCTCGCCGCCGCCCTGGCCGTCACCCCCCTACATCCCTGTCCCCCTTCTCCTCCCTAGCACCTACTGGAGAAAACTGCGGGCTAAGAAACACCCCCACCCTCTCCAGCGACTGCTGCCCCCAGGGCAAAGCTTCGGGAAGACCAGACGAAAATCAAGCGAGGACAACCCCCCTTTCCTGCAGAAAGGGCCCCAGACTACAGCGAAAGGGCCCCGACTGCTGAGAAGCCCCTCCCGCCCTTGCCTCATCTTTCCGACTTCCCTGCCTGCCACGTCTCCTTTCCTTTCAAGCAAGGTCGGTCCTAGCTGGGTAACCCCTCACCCGCATCTCTTTTTCCTCTTTCCCCCCTTCACCTACCGCCCCCAACTCCAGCTCCCAATTCACCCTTCTCAGAAGCAGAGTGTGGAACCCTCATCCATTTCCAGCTGACAGCAGAGCCTGGTCTGTGAGTCCTTGACACCCACATACCCTCTTCCACCACCGCAGGGAACATCAGAGCTCTCCCCGGGAGCGTGCGGGGGGAGGGGGCGGCAGCCTGACAGCCCAGGCTGGACTCCCTCCCTCGCGTCCCCAAGCCAAGATGGGACCAAGCGTGGACACTTACCTGGCTTCCTGCTAGTCACCGAGTGCTGTGGCTCCGTCTCACACCCACAGACGTGCCTTTCCAAGCCCGAGCTTGCTCGCGGGGTCAGCGGGGTGGGTGGGCACAGCAGGCTGAGGTCACACGGAGGTGTGGGAGGTCCCTGTGAGGTGCAGGAAGGGACTGTGTCTTGGGCACCTTGTAACGCCAAGAGCCTGCATAGGGCTTTACTCTAACCAGCACTGGATGTGCATGCACATAGTAGGTTCTTGAGAAATGCTGAGTCCACCCCAGAACAAAGCCTCATTTCCGATTCAGGTGGGGGAGGAGAGCTTTGGGAGGTAAAGGAGCAGCAGCAAAAAGGGTAGTGTCAAGTCACCAGAGCGCTGGAAGCAGCCCAGGGAGGGGCTGGGCTGAGAACTGCCTCCACCAGAAAGAAGCACCTCCAGTGCTGGGGCTTCCTAGGTTGGCGGAGAAACCCAGTCTTGGAATTTAGCTGAGAGGCTCTTCCTGCACCCCACACACTGTCTAGCCTTTCCTAGATCTTAAGACTCAAGGACTCACACGTAGGCAGCCTTTTAAGACAATCAGGGCTGCTAGCCCCTATGGCTGGGAAATAAAACCCTAAAGGATGGTTCCCCATCTGCCTCTAGAGCTGTCAGGGGCCCCGGACAGTTTTAGGTGTGTTGAGGGACATGTTTAAAGGAGAGGGTCACCCAGCAGGGGAAGTGTGTGAATGGAAGCTAAAAAGCTTAGGCTGTGACAGGGAAACTCAAAGAGCCGTTTTAGGACAACTGCCCCTACTTCTCCCACCTCCCACCCTTCAGGAAAGCAAAATCCCCAAACCTATAAACATAGGACACTAAAGATCTTTCCCCTCCCTGACCTTCCTAGGACAAAGATTCCTAACAGTACCCCCATCATCACCAGGCCAGCACTACCCACACCTCACAAAATGCATCCTTCCCCCTGTCCCAGTCTGTCCCATGGGCTGATGTCCCCCACCCCTCATAAGAGACTGGTGGTAGAGGATCACAGCAGCAGTGGCCACTGGCAGCCTGGAGCCAAGACAGAAGAGGGGACAGGGCTCCTGTCAGCAGCTCAGCATGCATTGACCTTGGCTTCATGCCCACTAATGGGCAGGGATTGAGTTCAAAAGGGTCAGAAGAGAAATGTACCTAGTTACAGGAAAGGAGACCCAAGTGGCAGGTAGCCTGTGCCTAGGAAGTGGTCATAGGGTGTGGCTGGAGGACTGGACTTTCCCCCCAGCATCTAGGAGTGAAGATCCATCAGCCCTGGGTTGAGAGGGGTGTGGGGGAGAGAACTGTCTTTATATGGGGCCCTGGTGGGAGGGGAAAAAAGGGAACACTGGAGAGGAGGCAGAGTGGTCATGAGAGCCCATTCCAGCCCGCCCTGCTTGCCCTGCCTGGCAGCTGCAGGAATTCTACCCTCAGAGCCTCCTCCCCCATGTGGGTGGTTGTCTCCTTTGCCCCAGGAGGCTCTGAGTGGGCTAGGTTCTGGCTAAAGGCACTTGGTGTTCCTCCTATGCCAGCCCACTGATCTACCAGTTCCCCTCCCCCTTTGTTAAAGCTGGTCAACAAGCCAACAACAAAGAGGCCCTAGTTTGCACACCTTGCCTATCCTCCAAAAGACCTTTCCTCTCCTTCAATCGATTTTGAGACCTCTACAACCGGGCCACCTTCCTTCCCAGTCCAAAGCCTTCCACACTTGGAAAGGGCTCCACTTCTTCCTTCAGCTATTCTACTCTAACCTTTCCTGAGTGAGTGCTGCCCCACTCCACTCCACTCCACCCCACCAAGGCAGCTATGCCAATACCTGGGGCCCATCACCATTCCTCACTCTGGCACACCCTGCAGCCCAAAAGTCCCCCACTGAAAAGGGTTTGTGGCTGGGTCCAGAGAGAGGAATGGATCCATCAGGTCTCCAGGGTCACCCACTCCCTGCCTCCAGGCAAGGGCCTCTCTCTACCCAGGTGCCTCTAGACCCATCAGGAAGGGTTAACAGCCTCAGAGCAAAGAGGGAGATACAGAAAGGAAAACATACACGGCTACGAGAAAACACGCCGCACACCCCTCCCCCACTACCTACTACCAGACTGACAGCCCGGACAGACTGGCTGCTCCGTCATCTCCAGTTCGGCCATCAGGCACTTTCCCCACTGCCCGTCGTAGTCCCTGCAGACCGCCTGCCCTCGGTTCCAACCACCTTGCACCAGGCAGGGCACCCCAGCGGGGCAACGCCGTCCTTGGAATGGTTGGCAGTAACCACTTTCCCCTTCCTTCATTCTATGCCCTGGTCCCATCTTTCCAAGGTGTGGGGCAGCTGCTCCTTCGCCCCCTTAAAGTGCCTGAACTCTAGATCCCAGGAACACTTACTAAGCCACCTGGCCTCCCATCCCCACTGGACAAACGGAAGGGCACAGCTCCTTGGGGGAGGAACACCAGGGCACCAATTAAATGCGGCTGCAGCACTTGCCCCTCCCCCACCCTAGGAAGCCCCCGGGGGTGGGAAAATAACGAAAGCTGGACTTTTATAGTCCTTTTATCCGACCCACTCCTTCTTAAAGGGATCGGAACCCCCTCCTTAAAGGGATCTCCATAAATTATTTGCCCCCAGGTAAATGCAAGTGCAGACGTTTGCTTGTTCTCTACCTGCTGGGGCCCTTTCCGTAGGGATGGGGGAGGCAATAGTGCTCTTCTGGAACTCTGAACTAGAGGGGCAAGGCCCCTTCCTGCAACCAAGAAGCCAGCTGTTGAATGCCCAGTAAAGAACAGGACCTCTTCCTCCTCTAAAGACACCCACTGCCATAGCCTGGCGGGGAGGTCAAGGTGAGGCCAGGGCCTGTGTGGGCCCAGTATCTTCATAAGAAGGAACAAGGGGGACTTTGGGGAACACATGTTCATGGTGCAGTGTCCAAAACCCTATCTGTCCAGGGCTAGCCTCCAGATTGCTGGCCAGGGAAAGTCTTTGCGGGCTGCCGTTCCCGGAAAAAAAAAAAAGCTGTTTCTGCATTCTCCTTCTCTTTCTCCCAACTCCTGACTCTTACCCTGTTTGGGACCCCAGGCCTTCCCCTTGGGGTGCCCTCTGCCTCTTATCCCAGTTGCCTCCATACAGCCCCAACAATTGCTGACTACACCCCATTTAAGGCTCTTTTTTGCCCTGGTCGGCGTGTCCCTGGGGTCCGTCTCACCGCCCGCCCCCGCCCCCGCGCGCCCTCCGCCCCCCCCCCACCCAACCAAGGGGGTGGGGGATGGGCACACCTCGGCTCCCGGGAGCCCCGCAAAGCTGCATCCTCTCCCTCCAGTTTACTCGGCTCCTAGTCTCACCCTGCCCTTGGGGCTGCAGGGTTCGAGGAAGGGTGGGTGTGAATGGGGTGGAGGGGGGTCCGAGGGCACTCCAGACCGAGAGAGGGACAGTCGGAAGCAGGGACTCACTTAAGCCACCCCTTCTGCCCCTCCTCCCTTCGCCCGTGGAGGGTCGAGGCTGCCAAGGGAGGGCTTCCCGGGCGCTTGGGAACCCACCAACGCCCCCACCCCTGCCACTCCCTGGAGTAGAGTCTCCCCCAAGGACTGGAGCTCCGAGCCCAGTCCCCCCACCCCCCCTCCGGCAGCTGCTGCAGCCTCCGGCTGAGGTCAGGCTCCACCTCCTTTCTCCGGAGGGAGAAAGCGAGGGTTGTTTGTTGTTGGGGTGTGAGAGCGAGAAGGTTCGAGATCACCTGGCCCAGTGGGCTTGGGCCCCGGGAATGAGAGCTGGGGCGGGTGAGCTGGGGTAGGCAGGAGCCTACTGCAGAGGCTGAAGTGCTAAACTCACCCCAACCTCACTCCCACACCCGCGGGTTCCAAGAAGGCAGCCTCATCCGCTGCTTTAGTCCTTCCGTCCAACCGCCCACTCGGTGGTGTCCGCTGTCTATCCTATATAGAGTGGCCAAAATGCCCCAGGCGAAAGGGCTAGCCCATGGGTTACCACGAGGAAGAAGACTGTTTTCCTGCTCATAAGAAGCTTCCAGTCTGGGGCTAGGATGCGTTGGGGGCGGGGGGGGGGGGGGGAGCAGAGGGACAAGTAGGACAGAAAACAGCTTGATAAACAACTTCATGACAGCAACACGTAATGGCTGCTGAGGAAGCAAAGGGAAAAGTGCCAAGGTCTGCCCCTGGTGTGGGGCTAGAGTGAGTGAGGTGCAAGAATGTTCTGAGAAGGGGCTGAGGCGCCAGTAGTAGTTATGAAGGAGCAGGCATTCTTCACGCAGACCTGCTATCCGTAGAAGGAAAGTTGAGGACATCCCAGGCAAGGATACTGGAGTTAGCAAAAGCAGAGCTGTGAAATAGGGTGTGAGGACAGAGATAAGAGTGGAGAGATGCCTGGGTGGCCCCAGGCTTTGTAAGTCCTGCCACGGATCTTCATCCCAAAGGCAGTGAGGGGCACTGGAGGATTTTAAGGGAAAGAAGGTCCTGGTCAGGTCTGTGTCTGACAGATCTGGGGAGGCAGTTGGGGGAGCAGCATGATGTGACTCATGCTGGGGGGATGTTGCACTTCCAATTTACATCGAGCGCTGGCTTTCCAAGGGGATATTTAACTTTGAGTCTATGCCTCCCTCCCAGGTCAGGGTTGGGCAAAAGGGGTCCTCCATTCCTCGGGAAGAGTCACTCTCAGTGCTGCTTCCACAACCAAGCAGGAGAGGGCCCAATGCATCCATCTCCTCCCTCACCCCTCTAGGCAGTCCTGCCTCCCAGAATCAACACAACAATAAAGAAGGCAAATATGGGGACTGGCTTCCCCCTCTAAATGCTCTTTCCCCATCCGACTTGTTACTAGAATTCTCAGGCAGTGGATGCTACTGATAAAAACCATATAGAGATGCTAGCAAACATCTCTCACCGGGGTCCTGGGGCTGACATCAGGCTGAGCACTTGACATTTGGGAGCCTGGTCTTGTCCTCGCCCCAATCCCAAGAGATAGACACAATTACTGTCACCATTTCATAGATTAGGAAACCGAGGTTTAGAACAGTTGGTTAATGCCTGCCCCAAGGCACACAGGTAAGGCTTATACCCTGTTCTGCCTGACTCTCAGGTCAGAGTTGGACCCCCTAGCCCCAACCCACAGCACTGCCTTCTACAAGCCCAGAAAGTCTTGCCCCACGTACCTGCCCCTCCAGACCACGGCCATAGTCAAGTAGGACAGGGTTTGGGGGTGTCAGTGAAGCTTCATAGTATAGCCCTGCCATTTCCAGCACGACTTTTCTCAAGACATCTGGAAGCAAACTCTTTGGGGCTTTTCTTTGGGTTCCCAGAATAGGTGGCTCCTGTTCATGTTTGCTCTTGGAGCACCCTGGTCTCTACCTCCAGAATCCTCATCCAATGTCTCAAGCCTGTCTTTCTGGAAAGGTCTCTCGAAGCTCAGGTAAAGGTCTCGCAAAGCGAGGTCCACCTTGCTCCCTGATGCCCTGAATTCGTAGAGGCTCCACTGTCTCCTGCTACGCCTTCCTGACCATCTGCTTTGCTTGGGTCTCTGTGATGAGACTACAGACCCCTGGAGGGCAGGACTATGGCTTCAGCTTCCTCTTTATGGCTTATTGTGTGTCCAGCACATTCCTGTACCCAAGGAAGGACGGCATTCTAGGTCCCTCAGAACCTGGCCCAGGACACATAGTCCTTTACCTCGCCCCTTCCACAGATCCATTCAGGTGTCGCAAATAGCAACTTTTGAGCAGAATTCAGCAGGCAGACAAGTTCTGTTTTGATATGTACTTATCTCACAGGGCTTTCAAAAAGATTAAAATTAGGAGCCAATGCTAAATTTTTTGGAAGTTTAAAATAAAAATCCAGATTTCCAGTTTCTCTTGAAAAATCAGAAAACCTTTACTTGGCACCTTACAGGCTGGTGCCAAGTAACAAATGTCTTCTTTATGAGGAAGGCATAATTTAGTTTGCCATGGTCCCACCTTGCCCTCTTCAGGCATTTATGAGACCTGACTGACCCCTGAAGGTTTTCAAGTTTCTGATCCTTGTATGTGACCACAGAGATCAGAATGGGTGTCATGGTCCAGACCTTTAGAGTGTCTGCCTCCCTTAGACCTACTTGGAGAGCTTTGTTACATTCTCACAGCCCACCTCTAATACAGTGCCTTTATTATTGCCCTGGCTTGCAGATGTTTACTGAGCACTCTCCAAGATCCATCGACCCAGGCTGGCGATGAAAAGGGAAATCAAATGTGGTCCAGCATCTGGGCTCTACTAGGTGACTATTCCTGAGAACATGCAAATAGTAGGTGGCTAATAATATTTGATGAACTGAATAGTAAATGATTGGTAAATAGCAACTGAATTAATTAACGGTGAAGGGAGGATAGTTCCAAGAAGCATAAAACGCCTGTGATAATCTCAATATGGGTCACTTAGGACCTCAGCTTCCTCTGGGTCACTGCTATCAGGACACTTGTCTGCTCGAATATCCAACAGGAGTATGTTAAAGGGGGCTCCCTCTCTGAGGAACCCTGGGTATACCCACTGCCGTTCCTTGAACCCAGACCTGCAGACTCCTGGGATGATGGGGACACCAGATCTGGAGTGGGCAGTGTCTTCCAAAACCAGGGGTCTTACAGAAGGCATGGGCACACACTCAAACACGTTTCTAATCCTCAGCAACGCTTTTAGGTAAATATTATTCTCAAATTTACAAACACATAAAGAAACTGAGACCTGGAGAATCTAAGTAACTGCTCCAGAACACACAGGCTTGAAGTAGCTCCATACCTTTACTTTTTTTAATATGGCAGTTAGCATAAAGGTTAAACAGAAGTCTAACCCTTTGTAGTTCTAAAACCTTTACTCTTTCTAGATTTCTAGTGGTTAAAGAAGACAAACTCTGTAGCCAGTCTTCCTGAGTTGGAGTTCTGGCTCTAGAGCATCTTAACAGTGCATGACCCTTGGTAAATGACCCCCAAACATTAGTAATTATGAATCTACTTCATCATGTCCCCATGTAACCATGCCTGTAGTCTGCCCTGTTTCTGGTATCCAGTCCTGCAACCCATTTGCACTTCTGTCTCTCGTGTGGAGTCCCTACTATGTGGTATCCCTGGCTGTATTCTGTCCACCCAGCTGCAATGTGTCCCACTCTGGCCTTAGACAGGCTGGATGCCTCCCTTTGTTGGGTCTGGAAGAGGAGACAGCCTCCCTCCCCACGGCTTTCCCACTCTACCCTCCCAACACCAGGGGCTGTCTCTGTGACCCCAGCCATCTTCCTGTGCATTTGGAAAGATTTTCAGTGGCATCCCTAATCACAACCCCCAAGGTGGAGTGGCTCCATCTCCTACAGGCTTCCAGCCATAGCCACCAGCCTCTCTAGTCTTCG